CAAGGTTATTAGGCCTAGCCAACCTATGGTCTATCCTTGTGCTTATGATGTTTGCAAAGTTGCTGCTTTAACTGCCGTTTTTGGTAATATGTCTTGGACTAACATTCGGGCGCAAAAATTTTGGAGGTCGAACAGGGTCCTGGCCGTCTATTACCTCGTTAACCACTGAATTGTACAACACACCTGCAGGTGCTCAACAGGGGGTGCGCAACACCCCTCCGGGGTCTTATAGTTTAGTATGCGATTCAAAATTCCCGCGGCTACATGGGGTTCACATCAGCTTCCTCAGGACTCTTGTAAACAGACGCCATTTAAAAAAATCGTGGGCAACATTCCTGGGTATGAGAACCTCAGTACTGAGTGAGCAACCAAGGCTGGTGCACGCAGCATGAGCTCACAGCACTGCTGTTCAGCTTGTGACCACAGCATCGCCTAATAATGTCAAAATATATATATAACTGGTATTATTTAGCCATGATAGTATTACAGAAGAGCCTGAGTGTGATAATGACTGTGTACAATGTTCAAATATCAGTGAATCAATGCTGTTCACGATGTTCACAGAGCTAGCCACAGCACCACACAGCATTATTTCATCCATCAAGGAATCTTCAAACGACTTCATACGTTACTTTACAAAATAAACTTGTGGTCAGTTATTCATTTACAGGATTTAGTGACCAGGATTGTGATAATATCAGGATTATAGTGATAATTAGCGCTGTGCGTAGTATTGTGGAAGGAGGATGTTTGGTGAGGGAGGGAGGGAAGGAATCCAGATAGCGTCACTGTGTGCGGCAGCCACTCTTGCTTTGCTCACCATACTAGCTTAGTGGTTCGCTATGGTGAACACATATGTACATGGGTATATACAATGTGTGTATATAGTGTAATAACAGCAACAGGAGTATGTTGGGAGAAGCCATTTTGTTGAGGGAGGTGGCGTCGTAATCGTAGCGTTGTCTGCTGGCTGCTATGTGATTTTTCATGCAGTGTATGGTGGACACTGTGCACAATACCAGCTTATTTGCATAGTTATGGTGAATAAAATATGTAGATACATATACATAACGTGTGTAAATTGTGTAATAAAAACAATAACAGTATGGTGGGAGGAGCAATGTTGGCGAGTAAGGTGTAATGAGTAAGCTAGGTGTTGGAGGAGTGAGGGAGGGCTGGCTGGGTGTGGCAGCTCACACTCACAGAGGTCTGAGTGTGTTGATGGTGAATGTATATAGTGTGTAATAGTGTATATGTAGTGTGTAAATATGTTGTAAATATACATAAATGAACATGAAAAATTGAATATATGAGCAAAATATGTGGACACATTTGAGACACATATAACACAGTGTCTTGGGACAGTATGGATGTTCTACTGTCATAATATTGTGTACTTGTTCATTATACATAGGATTGGAAAGAAAAAACAAAACAAATGTATTTGTAACTGTGACGGTGTTGAGCTCTGCTCTTTCGGCCCGCCTCTCTACTTGTGGTCAGTAGTTTTACTACTGACCACAATACTACTACTACTACTACTAAAAGTAGTAGTACTACAGTACTACTACTTTTTTTTTCCCACACCCCATGTGTGGCCACGTCTGTGGTAGAAAATAATAAAAAAAAAAAAAAAAAAATGCCCCAGGAAGCAACCCATGACAGCTGACTAACTCCCATGTACCTATTTACTGCTAGGTAACAGGGGCATATGGTGAAAGAAACTGTCCATCGTTTCTCGCCGGCGTCCGGGATCGAACCCGGGACCACAGAATCACTTGTCCAGCGTGCTGTCCGCTCGGCCGGCTGGCTCCCAACCATGTGTACACTTATGTGTGTAATTACCTGAGTGTAGTTACAGGATGAGAGCTACGCTCGTGGTGTCCCGTCTTCCCAGCACTCATTGTCATATAACTCTTTGAAACTACTGACGGTCTTGGCCTCCACCACCTTCTCACCTAACTTGTTCCAACCGTCCACCACTCTGTTTGCGAAGGTGAATTTTCTTATATTTCTTCGGCATCTGTGTTTAGCTAGTTTAAATCTATGACCTCTTGTTTTTTTTTTTTTTTTTTTTTTGAGATATATACAAGAGTTGTTACATGTTCTTGAAGTTCCGGGTCTCAGGAATTCTTCCCTATCAATTTTATCGATTCCTGTTACTGTTTTGAACGTAGTGATCATATCGCCTCTTTTTTCTTCTATGTTCTAGTTTTTGCATATTTAACACTTTCGCTCACCCCGCGCGCCACCCCTCGACAGGGCGATATGGGCCCCAGAGTGTCACGGAAGCGCGCGTTAATTCCGAAAAGTGTATACTCTCTTCAACTTTGTCACCTCAATTCTCCTTCTACGAGATTAAATTTGGTATCATTGTGTTCGCAATAAAATTCTCTACAGCACTAAATGCATATAAACTCCAAAAGCCCGGCTAATTACCCGCAGCAAACAGAGAAAGTGCGAACGAGTTACCCGGGAGCGCGCAAACGGGATAAAATGTTTTCACTATTTTCACTCTGGTCACCTCAATTTTTGTCCTAGGTCTTTCATTTTGGTCTCAATGGGTTCGTAATAAAATTCTCTAGAGGAACATTAGCCTATAAAAAAAAAAACCTGGTCACGCTCCAACCGCCGACGAGTTGAAGACGGGCCACGTGTTAGCCGTGAGTGAGTGCTCAGAGGCCTTCCTGCTACACTCCCAATTCCTACCCTTTTCAAGCCTTTCTTTCGCAATTTTCTTCCTGGAAGGGCCTTGTTCATGATTACTATCCATCGTGGAGTAAGCGTAGATAGTTTCTAAAGCCGCAGTAAGAAATATAGCCACGGAAAATAGCCGAAATGTTCACACGTTTGAGATGCGAGGGGAAGCGACATTGGTCACAACAGTGGAGCAAAGACAATGGGCCCACGGCGTGTGCCAAGCAGCCTGAGGGCGACGAGGCTCAACAAAGAAAATGGGAAGACATCGGCGCACATTTTAAAACAGTCCCCAAAAAATCGGATAAAAACCTGATTTTTGGCGAATTTTTAAAGTGGATGACGCAATGCTGCGTCATCCCCGGCATTACCGCCAGTAAACGGATGACGCAATGCTGCGTCATCCCCGAGCGAAAGTGTTAATGCCTTTAACCTCTCCTCGTAGCTCATGTATGTGTGTGTGTGTGTATATATATATATACAGGTATATATAATATATTCATATTCGGAAGGGTATATATTCAGAAAGCTTTTTCTTTCGGATGGGGCTCCGTTCCCTTCGCTGTTGACGGGGCGCTGGGAGAGCAGCTTGCTCTCTTGACTGTTGTCCTGCAGTTAGTGGGTGTGTTTAGTTCCGGCCTCTGGTGGTGGCGGATGGCTTCTTCCCCTTTGGGGGGTTCGGGGCTGGCGGGATGGGCTTCTTCCCCCGCACTTCGCCATGTTATCTTGGTGGGTGCATTTGGATGTGGTCTATCCACCCCATTCTTCCGGGATTCCAGTCTGCTCTCTGCAGACACGGGCCTTGTGGATCTGCGGTTCTTCTGGACTTGTTCAGTCTGCACCCTGGATTCTTTTCCCTCTTCGGAGGACTGTTGTCTCCTGTCCGGCTTCTGTTGGGGCCGGGTGCCTGGATGGTGACCCTGGACCTCCAGGTCACTTCTTGGCACGTTCCTCTCCAGGGTTCCGGGACTGGCACAGTTGATGGTGGGGCTTCAGGCTTGCCCGTTCTTTGTGCGCGTGCCTGCTCCTGTGCGTTCTTGTGTTGCCTTGGGTCGCAGGTTGCAGCCTGTTGTCTCGGCTTCATGTTGCGGAGTTTGTGGCGGTCGCCTCCCAGGTCAGCCCTTTCTTTTCCTTCTCTTTGGGTATGAAGCTCCAGGGAGCCGTAGGGGCTCCCCACAGAAAACCAGCATTGAATGTAATGAAATGCCATTTTCTGGGTGAGCCCCGGAGGCTCCCTGGTAACCCTTCCTCCCACCGGTCGAAGTTTTTTTTGCGTTAGTTGAAGCTTAGCTTCTGAACTGATGCTAGGCAGCCGTCGCTCCCCTTTCCTTTCTCGGGGCGGGGAGGGTTGCCCGGACGATCGGCATGGCAGTAAAGTGTGATATTTGCTTGTTTCCTTGGGATTGTAGGGAGTTTCTACCTCTCTGTTTAGTTTTCTGTTTTAGTTTTTTACCATGTGGGGTTTGTTTTGTTATGCCTAACTTTCTGGGTGCCTAACCCCGATCGATGGCAAATAAGGAAAACCCCAACCACAAGGGGGTTTTCCAGGGCGATTGCTCCCTGAAACCTCTCTGAAGGGGCCAGGTTCTGGCTCATGGTCCCTGGTAGGTCTGAACGCTTTAGCTAATGTCCGGATCTAATATAACATACATTAGCCCGATAAGCTCCAGGAAGCCTCCGGGGCTTATCCAGAAAATATCGTTTCATTACATTCAACGTTGGTTTTTTGTGATTGGAAAATATCGTTTCATTACATTCAACGCTGGTTTTTTGTGATTTGAATGGAAAAATCCAGTTTACATTATTCCTTACTGGAAAAAATTATTTGGTACAGAACAGATACTCTAACGAGTTCTGGAACCAATTAAGTTTGAGTGCCAAAGTTCCACTGTAATTTAATTATTATTATTAATAATATTGTATAAACATGAATTTTGTGCCTCATATCCTTTGGGGCAGGATGGTAGCAGATGACATGTTTTCCTCACTGAGATTAGATGGTCACTGATTCCTTTCCAAATTTATCAGATCAAAGTCACTATATCACCAGAGACCTCTGATAGTGTCATCCCAACTGAACATTTGCAGGCTATATCATCAATGTTAAAGGTGTGTGTGTGGGCTTATGGGGCTTGTGATTGTGTTTTGCAGAGGAATGGTTAAGAAATATTCTACATGATACCACACAAATGAAGGAAATTTCCTTGAGTAATAAGTCATCTAAGGGTTTAATAAATTAATATTGTACAACTGTATATCATTTGTGATTTAATTTGTCAGTTAACAAAATTTTATTTTTCCAGGGTTTATGCAACTTGGGAAACACCTGTTTCTTCAACTCAGTGATGCAGAGTCTTTCACAAACACATTTCCTAACACAACTGCTTGATGTGCAGTGCCAAAGTGGTCAGCACATGTTCCTTCCTGGGCGCCTAAAGTCTTCAGAATTATGTGTTGAAGGCAAAAGTAATGGAGAGGTACAGCTAAACAAATATATGTCAGAAAATGGCCAGGGCTTGAATAGTCAAAATGACAGTAGTCAAGACAAGAAAAATGATGGAGAGGATGTGGATGACGACTTAGAATTGGTAAGGTTTATTTGGGTATCTCTGGTGGGGATACTTTATGGTTTTGTCTGTTTTTCTGCTTTCTCAAAATTTCTTTTCTATGACTAGAAAGTGCATTGTCGTATTGATTATAACATTAAAATACTGGTACAAAAGTATATGAGCATTGTAACCATGAAGCAACTATTTTTTTTCTGGTGGCTCTCCTCCTGCCCTTCCCTTGGTGGCTCTAGTGACAACCACCTGGATAACTCTACACACAGCAGTGTTGGTTGGTAGCTTGGGTGCCGGTTAGCAGTACCCTGCCTGGGATTACTCTTAGCAGACCCATTCTAGATGCCCTGGGAAACCCTGCAGGGCACTCTGGTTTGATGGATGCTGCCCATGAGTTCCCTTTGCCTTGTGCGAGTTTGAGCGTTGCTCTGTCCCCTTGCCTCAGGGCGACACTCATTGTTTTTGCCTCTGCTGTCTATTGGGTCGGTGACACATTCGACCCTGAGTCCTGCGAGCTTTGTTGCTTGTTTGTGACTCAATTCACCCAATCTACTGATGACATTATTCGGGTGCAGTCGGCTCGAGCGTTGCAGGATAGATTTAAGTTGTTGCAATGTGCTAGGTTGGTTGCTCACCCAGATGCCCCGAGACTGCCCCATTTTGCTTGTAGGGACTCGGACTTGGGGTGTTGGTCGCGTCAGCCTTGGTTCAGTCCATGCCCCCTTGTTTTTTCCCCTGCTGTGCTTCATTCGGTTCCCCTTTCCCCTGCTTCCAATGCCTAAGCATCTCAGGGCTTTGGGGTCGGAGCCGGGTTTAGTGGTTTCTGAGACTCTGGCGTTTTCGGGGGTTGCCCCTTCTGGGGTTGCGACGGAGGCATTCGAGTCTGTTCCTCCAGCTGTAGCTCTGGGGGTCTGACCAGTAGACCCACTCTCTTCCTGCTATTTTGGCTGCCCCGGCTTTGTTTTTGTGAGGCCTGGGCTTTGGAGGATGACTCGCCCCCGGGGCCTGACGTGGAGGTTCCTTGGGTTGGGGAGGAGCTGACTTGGGGGCCTTGGGCCCCATTGGACCCCACCTGGGTTTTCCGACCCTCCGAGCGGGGTTTACTGTTACAAGGAGTGGGGTTTTCCTTTTCCCCCTCTGTGTTCGAGTTGGATTAAGGCTTGGCTCCTCCGCGGGTTCGGTTCAGTGTCCCTGCGGGTTCTTCAGGTCCGTCCTTCCGGAGGTTTTCGGCTTCCCACGTCTCGCCTCGTATCGGCTCTACCTTCGTCCTTACCCACCCGTATTCTATATTTACTTCAACTTAATACCAAGGGATCCCAGAGTTACTCTAGCCGAGTCCCACGCCACGTGGTCTTAGCCAGGATCTCCTTCTGCTGCCACCACCAGACCATTAACCAGATGTGTCAATTAATTGGGGTCTGGACCAGTTAATTGATCATTAAAACCTTGGGGCTTGATCCCCAAATTACTTGGAAAAGGAGGGATGAATCTACGTTAAGTGTGGGAATTATAGAAAACAAAGGGATATATGATCTCTTAAACTTTGCTAGGCTTGCGGCCCAACTAAAACTCAGACTCATGGAGACCACGTGACAAGGACATGCAACATATTCATGGAAATAATAAAATACAGAGAACAAACTAATTATTTATTTATGCAAAATCTAAACAACAGCTAAGTCAACTCACTCTCTAACTTAACACTTCCTATTGAGGCATGAAATGAACTATTTACTTATACAAAAACGTAGCAACTATACTTTGTCAATGCGACCAGCTGATGCGACCGAGTCCACACTGTCTCTACCTCGCTCTCCTCACCACTGAGGCTAGAGGGGTATTCCTACGCCAGGTTTACTAGTTCACTAAGCAGGGTTTAAATTGAACAACTAACCTCTGTTGTACTGAACAACAGAGGAACTCTTATAAACTGATGGGAATTGTACAGGTATGTTAGGGAAAGGCTATTTCCAATTACAATATGGCTATTTGAACTTTGTGAATTACTAAATATGGAGGGCTTTGGTGACCCTTGACCCAGGGTCATCAAGATTCATCCGCATCAGAAGCTAGTCCTCTCTTATTGACGTCACTGATGGTGACTTACTCATTATTCCTACAATTGAGAATACTCTTGATACTTGAACAGGTATATTATTGACTACAATTTGTATGAAAACTTGAATTCCTCTAAATTACTGAATTTTGTTAAATAATTCATTATACGTTGCTTTAAGACAAAGGCGATGGCTATTTTGTAATCTTATCTGCTAATCCTAGGAGAGATGACCTTTCTCTGCTTGAGTCAGGTCGAGTACCGTCTGACTCCAAACTTTCAAAACTCGGTCCCCCATGTCTGAGAATCCATACTGAATAATTCCCTACAACAAACCTAGTTTGTTACACTCTTCGCATCGGCGTGGTCGAGGGGTCTTCCAGTATATGTGGCGCCCTTCCCCAATCCCAAAACTGTCGGGAGCGACGCCTTTCGGCAGGACTGGTCAAGGTGGGGGTTCCTGTACCTCTTTCCTCTGGTTCAGCTGTTGCTCCTGATCTTGGCTCGCTTGGAGACTTACCAGGGGGCAAGTTGTCCTCTTGGCCCCATGGTGGTCGACCCAGCCATGGTTTCAGGCGCTGCTTGCCCAGTGTCTGAATCCGGAGTTTTTTCTGTGACTCCGCCTCTTTCAGAAGATCTGGTTCGCTCTTCTCCTCAAGTCTTTGTGTTTGGTATTTTTTACTTAAGTTTATCACCAGTTGTATGATGATCAGGTGGCTTCGTTGATGATGTCCCACCTGTGGGCTTCGTTGATGTTGTCCCACCTGTGGGCTTTGTCTCGGCGGCAGTATGCTGTTTCCTGGTGGTCCTTCAGTTTCTTTTTGACTTCGTCGTTGTACTTCACTTTCGGTTTGGGTGATGTTGTCCTTTCTCTCATGGCTGTTCCAGGACCGTCGCCTCGTATTGTGCGGCGCTGGCGGAGCCGCTTCAGCTTGCTTTTGGTATTGATGTCACGTCTGCACTGTTTCGCAAGCTGTCTCGGGTGTTGTTTCACCATCGGTCTGCTCATGTGCTGCCTGAGCCGTTCTGGTCTTTGGACAGAGTGCTCTCCTGCTCTCTTCTCCTCCTGGGTTTGTTGTGGCCCCTTTGGTTCAGGATTGTTTTTTCGAAAGCTCTTTTCCTGTTGGCATTGACCTCTAGGGGTCAGGTCAGGGAGCTTTATGCTCTCCTCTGGTGCAGGGGTTTCTGCTCTTTCGGTCGTGGAGATAGATTTGTTCGTCTGCTGTCGTCTTCTTCTTTTCTGGTGAAGAATGAGACTTTCCGGAGGGGTCCTTGGGTTGTTGATGCTTGGTTGGTCAGGCTGGGGGTGCATCATGTTTTGTGTCCGGTTGCGGCCCTCCGTTGTTATTTGTGCACCACGGCTTCTGTGTCCAGGGACGCACTTTGGTTTGATCCAGTTTCCCTTCTTCCCTGTTTGTGGGTATGGGTCTCTCTGGTTGTCCGCAGGGTTATTAAGTCTAGCCAGCCTGCGGTCTATCCCCATGCCCATGACGTTCGTAAGTTCGCTGCTCTTGCGGCCATTTTTGGGAACATGTCCAGGGCTGACATTCGAGCACAGGGTTTTCCCTGTCGAACATGTTCCTGGCTGCACGCTGCCTCGTGAACGTTCCTGGGCCTAGTTGAGCCTGTGTCCCTTTGGGTCGGCGGCTGCAGCCTTTCTCGACTTCAAGTTGAGGTGTGGAGCACTGATTGCCTTCCGGGTAAGTCCCCTTTTTTCCTTAGTATTTGGTTTTGTAGCTTCAGGGAGCCATAGGCTCTTCCCCTAGGAAACCAACGTTGAACGTAATGAAACGCCATTTTCTGGGTGAGTCCTGGAGGCTCCCTGGCAACCCTCCCTTGTCCGGTTGGCAGTTTTCGCAAATTTCGATATCCAGCCTCAGAACTGAAGGTGTGGATCGCCGGTGCAAAGGTCTGGGGCTTCCCCTTCCCCCTCCTGGGGAAGAAGAAGGGGAAGACACATTTCATTACATTTAATGCTGGGTTTTTAAAATAATTTTTGCTGTTGTGAGTGAATCAGGGGCCCCTTAAACATTGACTTGTGTTTTGTCATATTTACACTTAAATCCATTATGGCTGATATGTTACTATATTTATTTACATTTTTTCAGAAACCTCTTGATCTCATTCTTCGTGAAGGTGGGGCGTTGACCCTCGCTACGGCAGCTTTCCTCAAGGATATGCATTCTATTGGCAAAAATCCGTCACTAAATCCAGGACATTTGTTTGGCCAGGTTGGTGGTGGCATGAAGAAATACAGCTTGTTAATGATATTATGTAACTGCATTGTTCTTGTATTTTGGTGTGTACGTAGTTATGATATTTTTATCAGTACATACATAAAATGTTCTATAATCTATGTGCACTTCAAGGCCTAATTTCACAAAAGTACTTGTGGTAGGTAGAGTTAAAGCAGGTGTTTCCCATATGATCGTAAATGTTAAGAGAGGGTCTCATGGACTAAAGGTGAATTTCCTTGACTCAAACTTGAGGGACCAGGCTTCAGTTTCCTGCCAGAACATTTATTCCAAAACAGGGCAGCAAATATAGAAAGCAAAACTAGTAGAAATTATGAGCAGACCAAAGAACAAAAGACAAAAAAATGTAATGAATATAGGAAGAGGCCAAACCTACAAACATGCCAGTACTACAAACAAGCGAGAGACAACTACACAACAGTTAGAAGAGAGGCAGAAAGAAACTTTGAGAAGGAAATAGCAAAGAAATGTAAAACAGAATCTAGCCTATTCTATAAATTCATAAAAAAAATGCATTGAACACAAAATCCAAAGACTACAAATGGAAGACAGATTCACAGAGACTGAAACGGAAATGTGTGAAACACTAAATGAACAGTTCCAAAGTGTGTTTGTGCAGGATGCGATCTCAAACAACCCAGCCTCAATACTGACTTTCAAATATAAATTAGAGTATACAGACGTGTCTAGCATCTCGTTTTGTGCGGTGCTGGCGGAGCCGCTCCGGCCTGCTTTTGGCCCTGAAATGTTTCAGACCTTGGGTCTGGGGCAGGGTTTAGCTCAGAATGTGGCTTGTGTTGCTCTAGGGATTTCCCCATGTGATTCGAGTGTGGCAGCAGTTGAGCCTCTCGGTCTCACTGCGGCATTTGGGTTTTCCTGCTATCCGCCCACTTCTCTCGATGCTTTTCCTTTGGACTTTAGCTGTCTGTTCCGAGTGGTGTGCGTGGATGATGGCTCTTCCCTAGGACTCCTAGGTTGCTGTTTTGTGGGCGTGGGAGGAGTCTGAATTGGGGCTGTGGGTATCTATTGATCCTTCATGGTTTCTTGTATTTTCCACAGAGGGTCTTCAGTTACAGGGCATGGAGTTTAGATCTTCTTCCTCCTATTGGGTATATTACAAGGTTCCAGAGTCATCCTGGATATGAGACAATCCTTTGTTTTCTCTTGAATCCTGGCATGGTTTTTGCCAGACCAGGAGACTATACCACAAGACATGGTTTTGTCTTGTGCCCCTCACTCACTTGAGTGGCACAAGGTGAGCGAGCATGTTTCAGTTGTTTTTGGGGACTTTAATTTTGAGGCCCCTTAATGCTTATCTGTTTATCTGGGATTTTGGAGCTCTCTCCAAAAAATTGTGCAGCTCCATGCACAAGTTCTTCTATTGTTGCTGTCGGTTGTGGTGGATGACTTGTATGCCCGTCAGTACTTGGGCTGTCATGCAGTTTCTTAGTCTCCTTGATCTGCATTCGGATTGGCTTACAGAGGATATCGGAGAAATTGGGAGTAGACCTCATGTGGGGGTTTTGGCATCAGTCATGGCATCCGTGGCGGCTCTCCCTCTCCTTATGTGTCAGCAGAGCCTGCTGACACATAAGCTGGCACTTTTTCTAGATTTGGCCTGGGCCCTTGCTTTTCTTTCTGCCTCTCCTTTCTCTCCATTCCTCTTTCCAGAGGATGCAGTGGCATGCTCTGGAATGCCACAAAAGAGTCTAAAGTTTTGTCTTCTGCTACTACCTCTTGTTGGAAGCAGTGGCAGAAGGACCATCTTTGTCTTTAGCAGGGTCATTCTTGTTGAGTGCTGGTTAAGCAGTCAGCAAGTCAGACTGCTTAGTCTGACTTGCAGACTAAGTCAGGTCGACAAGTCTGGTCGCCACTGTGGTCGCTCTGTTCACAAGGCAGTCTCAGGTTCCACATTGGTCCAGTTGCTATTGATGCAGTTGATGGGGGTGGTGGGGGGCAGCTAGTCTGGTTTGCCGATGCTTGGTTCTATGATTTGTGGGGTTTTCGGGGCATCTCTGTCAGTCTTTGGTGGCGTTGGTCAGTCAAGCCTCCTTTCAAGTGCTTGGGGTCTGTCCTGGCAAGCTTCCTCCACACGTCTTTGTCAGATCATTTTCGGTTGGGTGGCTTTGGGGGCGGTTGAAACGATCATGTCACTTTGGTTGGTTGCCACTGGGTGCAGGCTCTGTTGACCCTGTGTCAACTGCTGTGTCGCCAGCTTCCTCTTCTGGCTTTTCAGGGGGTATGATCCCCTGAGGCCTTCCTCGCTCAATGTCTTCACAGATGCCTTTGCTCGCCTTTAGCTGGGGTTTTGTAACCAGCAATCACCTGGCTGGTCAGGGGCATTGATCTTTCCTCCTCTGTCGGGAACCCAGCACAGTGTGGAAGTTTGTGGCCATGTGTCAGGTGCTGTGGAGGATTTGGATTCCACAGGCTCTGTAATCTCCAGCTCCATTTTGACTGTTTCCCTATGGTTCATTGTCTGAACTAGGGAGATCTCTTCAGTCCCTGCCTTTTTGGAGCTGGACCCTGTGTGTAGCTCTTCTTTTGGGTTCTCGGGTTTTGGCTCTTTGTGCCATCCATATTCTGGGAGTGTCCAACGACCTGTCCCAGTTCCGTCCCATCTCCATGGAGTGGACCATCAATGCCTTTTCCTTCCTGTAGCTTTATGGGATGTTCTGGCGGCCAAACATGAACCGCTTCATGTTATCTTAGTCTCGGCATCTTCCCCCTTTATGTGGCGCCATTCCCCAATTATGAGGCCCTCTTTGTGCTGGACTGGTCTTTGTGCTGGATTGATCTTTGTGCTGGACTGGTCTTTGTGCTGGACTGATCTGTGCTGGACTGGTCTTTGTGCTGGACTGGTCTTTGTGCTGGACTGTCTCTTTGTGCTGGACTGATCTGTGCTGGACTGGTCTTTGTGCTGGACTGGTCTTTGTGCTGGATTGATCTTTGTGCTGGACTGGTCTTTGTGCTGGACTGGTCTTTGTGCTTGATTGATCTTTGTGCTGGACTGGTCTTTGTGCTGGACTGGTCTTTGTGCTGGACTGGTCTTTGTGCTGGATTGATCTTTGTGCTGTACTGGTCTTTGTGCTGGACTGGTCTTTGTGCTAGACTGGTCTTTGTGCTGGACTGGTCTTTGTGCTAGACTGGTCTTTGTGCTGGACTGGTCTTTGTGCTGGACTGGTCTTTGTGCTAGACTGGTCTTTGTGCTGGACTGGTCTTTGTGCTGGACTGGTCTTTGTGCTGGACTGGTCTTTGTGCTGGACTGATCTGTGCTGGACTGGTCTTTGTGCTGGACTGTCTCTTTGTGCTGGATTGATCTTTGTGCTGGACTGGTCTTTGTGCTTGATTGATCTTTGTGCTGGACTGGTCTTTGTGCTGGACTGGTCTTTGTGCTGGATTGATCTTTGTGCTGGACTGGTCTTTGTGCTGGACTGATCTGTGCTGGACTGGTCTTTGTGCTGGACTGGTCTTTGTGCTGGACTGTCTCTTTGTGCTGGATTGATCTTTGTGCTGGACTGGTCTTTGTGCTGGACTGGTCTTTGTGCTGGACTGGTCTTTGTGCTGGACTGGTCTTTGTGCTGGACTGGTCTTTGTGCTGGACTGGTCTTTGTGATGGATTGATCTTTGTGCTGTACTGGTCTTTGTGCTGGACTGGTCTTTGTGCTGTACTGGTCTTTGTGCTGGACTGGTCTTTGTGCTGTACTGGTCTTTGTGCTGTACTGGTCTTTGTGCTGTACTGGTCTTTGTGCTGGACTGGTCTTTGTGCTGTACTGATCTTTGTGCTGTACTGGTCTTTGTGCTGTACTGGTCTTTGTGCTGGACTGGTCTTTGTGCTGGACTGTCTCTTTGTGCTGGACTGGTCTTTGTGCTGTACTGATCTTTGTGCTGTACTGGTCTTTGTGCTGGACTGGTCTTTGTGCTGGACTGGTCTTTGTGCTGGATTGATCTTTGTGCTGTACTGGTCTTTGTGCTGTACTGGTCTTTGTGCTGGACTGGTCTTTGTGCTGGACTGGTCTTTGTGCTGGACTGGTCTTTGTGCTGGACTGGTCTTTGTGCTGGACTGGTCTTTGTGCTGGATTGATCTTTGTGCTGTACTGGTCTTTGTGCTGTACTGGTCTTTGTGCTGCACTGGTCTTTGTGCTGGACTGGTCTTTGTGCTGGACTGGTCTTTGTGCTGGACTGGTCTTTGTGCTGGACTGGTCTTTGTGCTGGACTGGTCTTTGTGCTAGACTGGTATTTCTGCTGGATCACCATTTTGTCTTCTTTACAAAATTAGTCATCTCCACATGTTCTGTCGTCTCTCTCTGATTATCTTGTCTAATATTTTACATGGAATGCATACACATCCACAAGTCTGGGATTATCCCGGACGTAGGTTCCAACCCTCATCACGGCCCTTGTGGATTTGTTCATGGAATGCATGTCAGTGATACTAATCTGTAACTGGAAGCCTCATGATATTTTTTGGTCTTGTAGATTTCTGAAAGCTCATAACACACTAACTAGTTAGTGGGTTGCATAATGTCTGTGCTGCCTCTCGCATTAGCCATGGCAAAATCTGATACAGTCCTCTCCTTTCTATATGACGAATTTTGCTGGTTGTTTCTCTGCTTTCGCACTTTTACTTGGTACTGTACCTTGCCTTACCTTGAGGTGCTTCCGGGGCTTAGCGTCCCCGCGGCCCGGTCGTCGACCAGGCCTCCTGGTTGCTGGACTGATCAACCAGGCTGTTGGACGCGGCTGCTCGCAGCCTGACGTATGAGTCACAGCCTGGTTGATCAGGTATCCTTTGGAGGTGCTTTCCAGTAAGCACCTGTAACCCAAACTGCGTGCAGACCACGTGTTGAGTATAATTTTGCTCTGATTTTATTGTAACTACCCATCAATTCAAAACTTCTCTATTTGGACTAGTGAGCATATAATGTATTTGTTCACATTTCTATTATATCTTTTGTGTGTTCTTTTCTTTGTTTAACATTGTTCTTTTTAAATGTTTCATGGTAATGTTAAATATGCACTGTGTATCATTCAGTGGAGTAGGTCCTTTATTTAAGCCTAGTTTCTGTTAACCCGAGCATTTCTTTCGTTTTTTTGGCAGTTGCACGGGATGGATTCGTCAGTAAGTGTTGTCATTTGTGTAATTTTTTCTAGGCGACATTATTTAAATAAAGGAAAGCGTTTTAATTGTAAGTTCTAATATTTAAACTTCATCCTTTGTAATATTAGGATGGTCATCCTTTGGTAATATAATTTGGTTCTCTAAATTAGCTGGTCTTCAATGATTTGGTCATTGAAGACCATTGAGAAGACCTTCTTGTAACAATTATAGTAGATCATCATCTTATAATAATTATAGATCAACTTCTTATAATAATTATAGATCATCATCTTATGATACTTATAGTAGATCATTTTGTTATAATAATTATTGATAATCTTATAACGATTATAGATCATCTTATAACAATTATAGAAGGTATTACTTCTATAAAATTTGTAATATTATTCTTATAACAATTATAGTAGATATTCTTTTAATAATTAAAGTAGATATTCTTTGAATGATTATAGTAGGTATTCTTGCATTGGTTGTAGTATAGCAATATCCCTGGCAGATCTTGAAAATGCACACAGTAACTTTTGTATGCTTCTTTTAAAATTTTTAAAATATTTTGTATGTAAGATAAGTTTTTCTTATTTTCTTCCCAATACAGATATGCAAGAAAAGCACCCAGTTTCAGGGTTACGAACAGCAAGATGCACATGAGCTCTTGCGATGTCTTCTTGAAGCTATACGAAATGAAGAAATTTTAAGAGCAAAGCGAGCCATTTTACGAGCATTTGCACTCTCTGAGAAGACTGATCCAAACAGTGTGAGTCCACGGCTGAAGATGATGATAAAGGGATATGGTAGACAAGCAACTCACACAATTGTTGACCAGATATTTGGTGGTCATTTAATAAGTACTGGTGAGTGCTGATTTTATCTATTATCTAACTATATCAGAAGCTCTTACCTTTTCCACTGTCATGTGTGCTAATTTTAGAGATCTAATCAGATAATATAATCAACAGCATCTTAAGAACATAAGGGGTCAATGCAACTGTAGAAGGCCTTTTAGCAAGTGTGAGACACCTCCTATTTATACCAACAAAACTCATTCATGTACAATATGTCTAACCTATGCATGAAACAATCCAGCAATCCCACATCTATTATGCTACCCAGTAATATGTTTCATAGATCAACAACATGCTAACATTTTCAAACCAGTAATTACACATGTCTTCCTTGAATCTTAGAATATCCATTTTGTATCCATTAATGCTTTGATGGTCTGGTCTCTCCTCGTGTTCCCGATGGTGAGCGTAACAGGCTTCCCAGGGCCCTGCTCGGTGATGCATAAAATGTTTACAATCATTTTACATTTTCTAAATTATTTTCTGTGAGGAGCCCCGTCAGCTCCCTGAGGCTATCATACACTGATCAGTGCTATATTGCTTAGTGCCATGAATCAGCAGACATTCTCTCCTGGGGAAGGATTGGAAAAAGTTTCTCTACTGCCTTCCCTCACCAGCTATATAGCAAACCATTTTAATGATTTCAAACATGTCATTATGGGGCTAAAAGTTGATAAGAACCTATTGTGTGAGCAATGTCCTGAATGAATTCTGATCTAGAAAGCAATCGAGTAATGACTCGGAAAGGTGAATTTCAGTCTCGGTTTCATATTTTTTGGCACATTTGGTAAGGTATTTATCATCTCCAATATTTTATTGTTAAAATTTTTGTATTCAAGTACAATATTTTAATATGCTTCTTTGTTATTTAAGACTTGATTTAGTTGCTCCACAAAGATTTGTTACAGATTGACCATCTATGTTTCATACATGTCATAATGCAGAGTACTTTTTGTGTATTGTAACTTAAATATGTTTTATCATTGTTTCAGTATTTTGCGAAGAATGTCACTGGTCTTCACAGGTATTTGAACCCATGATGGACCTGTCTTTACCAATTAATGAAGAAAAGGTAATATAATAACAATTAACTTAAATTATATTTTGTTAAATTAATTTCTAGTTGTAATATCCCACAAACAAAATTCAGTGAATGTTTCATATAATTAGACATTATTAACATGTTGCCTATCCTGGCAGGCCACTCGCAGTGCACCTCAAGTTAGGCCACATGTTGCCCATGAGCAGACAACCACACTTCAATGGTTATAATCTTTACAGTTTTTTCACCTCAATTTTCATGCTATGTCGTTCATTTAAGTATTAAATTTTTTGCAGTAGAATGCTCTAAAGGGATATATGCAAATAAGGTCAAATAGATGCACAACATTATCAATAAAATATGATAAAGTACATCGTCATGTGAAAAAGCTAGCGTTAAATGTAATGAAACGCCATTTTCTGGGTGAGACCCGGAGGCTCCCCTGAGCTTACTAGGCTGATATGCTAATGTCAGACTTTGGCATCAATCATGTGTATGGAGTTCTGTGGGCCTACCGGGGACCACAAGCCAGAACCTGGCCCCTTCAGAAAGGTATGGGGAGCAATGGCCTATAGAAACCCCCCCGTGGGGTTGGAAGCATTCTATGCCTGCCATCGACCAGGTCAGGCACCCAGAAAGGTAAGCATCCCAAAACAAACCCCTATTCTGGTAAAAATATTGCTACCAAAAGCTGAACAAGTGGATAGAACTCCCCTAAAAGAAACAAGCAAACGAGTATGACGTCACACGTCGCCGCGCTGCTGTCTGCGCAGCTCTCCCCTCCCCGGGATGAGGAAGGGGGAACCCCAGACCCCCCCATGCCTGCTATCCACCAGTCAGTTCTGAGGCTGGATGTCAAAATACATGAAAAACTGTCGACCGGAGGGAGGGAGGGATGCCGGGGAGCCTCCGGGTCTCAATCAGAAAATGGTATTTCATTACATTCAACGCTGGTTTTCTGGGGTTAGCCCCTTTGGCTCCCCGTAGCTAACTACTCACAGAGGAAAAGTGTAAGAGGGACTTACCTGGGAGGCGGTCGCTGCTCACTCCTCAACTCGAAGTCGAGACCACTCGTTGCAACCGCCGACCCAAAACGACACAGGCCCGACTGGGCCCCGGAACGTGTAACCAGGACCCTGTTCGACCACCAAAATCCCCGCACCAGAATGTCAGCCCAGGACATGTTGCCAAAGACAACAGCAAGAGCAGCGAACTTACGAACATCATGGGCACCCAGCGTGAGTGAACAGTGCAAGCCTTCCTCCCATCGCCCCCTCAATGGGGCAAACCGCAAAAGAGCCAGCGCCCCTTACGAGACCCAGAACCTCACACAGATCGAACACTGCACCGACCAGAGGAAGGTGAGACCGAAGGCGGGTCCTAGGTTTTTCAATTTGGTATCAATGTGTTCGCAATAGAATTCTCTACAGGACTAAATGGATATAAATCACAAAAGCCCGGCGAGAAAGTGAGAGCGTCTTACCCGGGAGCGGGCAAGAGCTCTCTCTTCACTTCACACTCTTCACTTTGGACATCTCAATTCTCGTCCTAGGCCTTTCATTTTGGTATTATTGTGTTCGCAATAGAATTCCCTACAGGAGTATATGCAAATATAAAGTCCAAATGCCTGGCGTACCACCCATAGCAAACAGAGAAAGTGACAGAGCGTTACCCACGTGAGCGCTAATAAAGAGCAATAAAGTTGGTATGCTCGTTTCAACTTTGTTACCTCAATTCTGGTCCTAGGACTTTCATTTTGGTATCAATGTATTCGCAATGAAATTCCCTACAAATGTATATGCATATAATGTCCAAAACCGCAGCAAGACCTTCTCGAAAACACTGCTACTGTTGCCGTACTGAAGACAATGCTGAGTCGTCGCCGGGCATGCCTCTGTTTTGCGGATGACTCGGCATCGAGTTGTTGCAGAGCGAAAGTGTTAACACTTTCGCTCGGCGACGACTTAAGTAGGAAGAGTCGGCTGTTCTGGTTCCTTCGGGGATGTCCCTTTCGCCTCTCTTGCAATCGCTGGGTTCAGTCTCCGGGGACCTTGCGTCTGCTGCTGCATCGCTGGCTTCCTCTTCGTTTTTCTCTGGGTTCAGTGCCTTTGCGCCTACCTGAGCCCTCGCTCGATGTGTTCAAGGATGCGTCGTCTCTCGGTTAGCACTTTGTGACCGGTGCTCACCAGGCCAGCCAGGGACGGTGTGGTCTGTCCTTTCATTGGGCCCACAGTACAGCCCACAGCACGGTGTTCAGGGCAGTGTGATATGCTCTTTGGTGGATTCAGGTCGCCCACGGATCGACGATCCGGCTCCATTCAGACTGCTCCACGATGGTTCATTGCCTGAACCGATGGGGTTCGATGCAGTTCTTGACTCTTTGGGGTTGGTTGCTTCGGGTGACTAGTCTGCTGAGTGTTCTGGGTTTGGCACTCCTGGCAGTTCACGTTCGGGGGGTTGTCCAATGTCCTGGAGTACGGCCTGTCTCATTTTGTTTCTCTCTCCACGGAATGGACCATCGACGCCGACTCATTCAGATGGCTCTGCCAGACGTTCAGGCGCCCGGATGTGGACCTCTTCAGGTCGGCGTGGTCAAGATGTCTTCCGGTGTATGTAGCAGCCTTTCCCGACTGCAAGGCCGCCGGGGTCAATTCCTTTTGGCAGGATTGCTAGAGGTGGGGGTTCCTGTACCTCTTCCCCCGATTCAGCTGCTGCTCCAGGTCCTGGCTCGTTTGTAGACTTATTAAAGGAGAGTTGTCCTCTTGGCCTTGTGTTGGCCAGCCCAGCCGTGGTTTCAGGCGCTGCTTGCTCGGTGTCCTAACCCGGAGGTTTTCACGCGGCTCCGCCTCTTTCACAGATTGGTCCGGTCCATTACAATACTGGTTCGATCTCCTCAAGTCTTCGCGTTTGGTCTTTTTGACCCGAGTATATCACCATCTCTATGGTGATCGGGTAGCTTCTTTGATGGTGTCCCACCTGCGGGCTTCGTCTCGGTGGCAGTATGAACTTGGTGGTCTTTCCGGTTCCTTTTCAGCCATCTCCTTTTCTGGCGAAGAATGAGACTACTGCTTTCCAAATGGGTCCTTGGGTTATTAATACTTGGTTGGTCAGGCCGGGGGTGCATCATGTGTTGTGTCCGGTTGCAGCCCTCCGCCGTTATTTGCGTGCCACGGCCTCGGTGGCAGGGGACACGCTTTGGATTGATCCGGTTTCACTTGTTCCCATTTTGCGGGTGCGGGTCTCATAGGTTGTACGCAGGGTTATTAAGTCTAGCCAGCCTGTGGTCTATAACTGTGCCCATGACGTTCATAAGTTTGCTGCCTTTGCTGCCGTCTTCGATAACATGTCCTGGTCTGACATTAGGGCACAGGGTTTTTGGCGGTCAAACAGGGTCCTGGCTGCATGCTACCTCGTAAATGTTCCTGGGCCTAGTCAGGCCTATACAGATTTGGGTCTGCAGTTGCAGCCTGTTGTCTCAACTTCTAGTTGAGATGTGAAAACCGAGCGCCTCCCGGGTAAGTCCCTCCAGTTTCGTCTTTGGTGAAGTAGCTCTGGGTGCTGTTGGGGCTCCCCCCAGAAAACCAGCATTGAATGTAATGAAACGCCATTTTCTGAGTGAGTCCTGAAAGCTCCCCGGCATCCTTCCCTCCCTTCTAGTCGGCAGTTTTTCGCGTGTTTTTGATATCCAGTCTTAGAACTGGGGTGTGGATCACCGGTGCGGGGGTCTGGGGCTCGCCCCTTCTCCCTCCCGGGAAGGGGGAAGCTGCACAGACATGCGGCGCATCTCGTGTGATGTCATGCTTGTTTGCTCGTTTTCATTTGGCGAGTTCTGTCGCCTAGTTTGTCTATTTTCGTTTTTTTAACCAGAATAGGGGTTTGTTTTGGGGCGCCTATCTTTCTGGGTGCCTGTCCCAGTCGATGGCAGATATAGAATGCTCCAAATCACATGTGCATTTCTATAGGACATTGCTCATCATGCCTCTCTGAGGGGGCCAGGTTCTGGCTGTGGTCCCCGGTAGGCCTAGAACTCCACCCACACTGACTGATGCCAAAGTTTAGGTATATTCATATCAGCCTGGATAGCTCCGGGGAGCCTCCGGGGAGCCTCCGGGACTCACCCAGAAAATGGCGTCTCATTACATTCGACGCTGGTTTTTGAGGGATAAAAACTTCAAGACAAAATATAATCAAGAATTTAACTATAATCATTCACAGCATTTCTATTGTATCCTAAATATTAAGATAGTCCAGTTATTTTCCGACTAAAATTTGTAAAATATACTTGTTTTCATTATGACTAATGACAAATATTGACATTATCTGAAAACAGTTAAAAGTTAAGGAGTATTATGGAGTATATGCATAGTAAGGAGTATATGAGCCAGTATTATGTTTCACTTTTGCTTTATGTTGCATTACAGGGGAAGCCAAAGAAGGTATCTCCAGATGATGATTGTGCCTTTGACTGCTTTGGTAGACCTGCAAGCAATAACACTGTCTCAAAACATCAATTGAAAAAGCAGAAGAGAGCAGATAAAAAACAGCGTAGGAGCACAAAGAAGCACAATAAAGGTGGAAGTTTAGCTCCATCTTGCATGCGAGCAAATACAGAAGAACACGAGGAAGAGATAGGTACATCAACAGTAGTAGAAAATGAAAGAGTGAAAAGGAGAATAACAGAGAAGAGTCGACCAGAAGATTTGGAAGAAAGAGCTAAGAAGGAGAGTGAGAAGAATGCTGATGAAAAGGAAACAACAGTTGTAAAGAAAAGGGGTGAAAGTTCAAAATTTAAGCAGTTGATGGCAGCAAGAAAAGTTGGGAGAAGGGATAAGGAAAGTGATGGAGAAGAAAGTGATGAGGATTCTGAATATGATTTTGAAGAAGACGAGGAAGATGATTCACTAGTGGGAAAGGGTGGTGATGTAAAGAAGAAGAAAACAAATGGGGGAATCTCTTCAACTAGCATAAAAGAAGAAAACGAGTGTGAGGAGACAGTGAGTAAGACACTAGCAGATGAAAAAGCTGATGAAACTAAAGAATCAAAAAGTTTCACAGAAATGGGTGAAAATGAGGAATTTGATGATAATGACAATGATGATGATGATGATGGGGATGATGGTGATGATGATGACTCAGAAGAGACTGAAAGTGACAGTAAAGCCAATGGAAGTGATAGTGCCATTTCCAAGAAAAAAGGTTCATCCACAGGTGAATATTCCGAGTCTTTATTACTGTACTGTACTGTACTTTCAAAATCTCCTCATTTAACCCTTAAGGTGTTGTTACGAGTTAGCATCCATGTCTGCCTATGTGCACAAAAAAAAATAATAGAATGATTAATTTGGATGCAAAATTTACAGGAAAGAGGAAATAAACTACACGTTTTTATTATAGTGTGTTTTGTGCATAGAACAAGTTGAGCGTGTCATGGCCCAGCAGCAGCCATCTGTCAACATACACCCTCCCAAGCTCAGTCATAAATGGCTGCTTGGGCCATGTGAGGTAGCTCCTATTTATCACTGGGAGTATAAATAGGATCTGCCTTGTAGCTCATGCCCGACAGCTCCTATTTATATCCTCCTAAACTCATTCATATAACACGGCATATTGTCCCATACAGTATATGGCTTCTACTTATTATCCGAAATATAAATAGGAGCTGTCCCATATTGGCCAAAAGGCCTATGTTATACTTCATTACAACTACAGTGGCCCCTCCATTTACGAATTTAATCTGTTGCAAGATACAGTTCGTCCACCGAAAATTATAAAACCAAAATAAATTTTTCCATAAGAAATAATGTAAATTGAATTACTGTAATCCGTTCCGCACACCAAAATATTAACTAAAAAATACATTTATACAGAATACTACTCATAAGTACCTTACCTTTATTGAGGACTCTTGTTGGCGTATGAAAGACGGTGAGCAGAAAAGAGGTGTTAGTGTTTGGAAGGGGGAGTCCCCTTCCATTATAACAGCAGTGATGACATTTCTGGGATACTCTGTCTCCTACATTTTGCAGGAATACCACTAGTTGTGGTCGAGCCACCTGGTTATGGCTCTGCTTTCTTGTCTTACTAAAAACCTCTCTTGAAGACACTTGTTTTTCCCTACATTTTAACATTTGTCTGTAGTGAGACATCACATTCATTCACTATGAATGATCTAGTATTTTTCGTCTATCGTCGTCATCACAGCTAGTTTAAGCTTAGGTTGACCTTTACCACTTACTTTCTTGGGACACATGGCATGCCCCAGGGCAGTGGGGGTTGCCCACTAGCAGTTCTGGGACTGTTTGCCCCTGCCTGGGTTTTCTGCTTTGAGAGCGGGGTTTTTCATCCCTCTCGTTTCCTTACTTCCTACATTTGCTGGCGTATTTTCTGATCTCTTGCATCTGTCGCATCTTCTTTGTTGTGGTGGCCATTTTGTTTCTGTGGGTTGATTCCCCCCCTGGCCCCTGGGGCGGCGTTGAGGTTTGTTTACCTGTGCCTGGGTGTGCGAGCTCGCGTTTTGGGGGAGTTTTTCATCTCCTTCAGGGTTTTATCCTCCTGTTGCCATTTCTTTGCTTTTTCTCAAGCGTTCTGCCCTTCTTCTGTTCCTCTGAGAACACTTGGGTGTTGGTTTTTACCCCAGTTTTGTGTTTTCTGTCTGTTTGAGTCTGGGCCCTGGGGTTTGGGCCCAGTGTCCCTGTCTGTTTATGCTTGCTCCCACACCTTATGTCCCCTCAGTTTTCAGTCCATTTGGCAGTTTCACTGGGGTTCTGTCTGGGTGCTGTGATTTGCCTTTTCTGTGGTGCATTTCTGCCAACAAATGTGGTGGTTTGGGCTCCCAGGTTCAATTCCGGGTACCTTTGGATTCTTTGGTTTCGTTCTGGAGGTTTCTTCCTCTTGGGCCCCCCTTTGAGGGTTCAGGAGGCCTTTGGTTACCTCGTGTGTGACCCGGTTCTGCCTACTGGGGTTCCAGGGTCTTCCTGGTTTGCAGATCGCTATTTTTGGGTCTTGGCACGTGTTGTGGTCGTGCCGGAGCCTTAATTTTTTTGTCGAGGTGGGCCTTTTTGTGCGGCTTTTGTGCTCTCAGTGCCTTCTAAGTAAGGCCGGCGCAGACATGCGGCACGGCTCGTGTGACGTGATGCCCATTTGCTCGTTTTCATTTGGGGAGTTCTGTCTACTCGTTTGTCTATTTTAGTAGTTTTAACCAGAATAGGGGTTTGTTTTGAGGCGCTTACCTTTCTGGGTGCCTGGCCAGGTCGATGGAAGACATAGAATGCTCCAAATCCCACGTGCATTTCTATAGGCCATTGCTCCTCGTTCCTCTCTGAGGGGGCCAGGTTCTGGGTCGTGGTCTCCGGTAGGCCTAGAACTCCATTCACACTGATGCCAAAGTCTAATGATATACATATCAGACTGGATAGCTCTGGGAAGCTTCTGGGTGACACTCAGAAAATGGCATTTCATTACATTCAACGCTGGTTTTTTGCCACTTCCTTTCCCTTTCTCGTCATTCTTTTCTCTCAGTTCATGTGGTTCTTTTGTTCCTTGCTTGGTTGTTTCTAGATCAGCATCTCATACCGAATACTGTCACTTCTTATTGTTTGGCACATGTGGAGCCGCTACTGCTCTCATTCAGCGTCAAAACTTTTCCACTGTCTTGGAAGCTGTTTCTCACATTGTTTCACCTCTGCCCTGTTTATGTGTAATCTGAGATGTCCTGGTCTTGGGGCCGTGTCCTCTTCTGCCTGGTTTATGGTTTGCCCTTCATTAACACTTTCGCGGGATGAGGACGCACCTCGGAGTCCTGTTTCGCCTACCCGCTCCCGCATAGTGGACATAAACTTATGTCCTCTTTTAAAATATTTGTATAAAATTCAATTTTTATCCGATTTACTTTGGGTTTGTTTCAAACTGCGCGCCATGAGGCTCTCTTTCTCACCAATAGGCTGCATGGTACAATAAGTTCATGAAAGGTTCACAAACATAACAAAAGTAAAAACATTTCGTGTGTGTTTGATTCTCACTGATATGTTCCAGCGTTGTTTTATATTTGGCGCTATTCTATCTTACGCTTTGTTGATCTTTTTTACCTACGGGCTCATAGAACATTCTATTGCGAACACATTGACACAAAAATGAATGACGTACATAGAATAATAATGTCATGAGAATGAAATAAGTATAAACTTTCAAAGCGCCGTGCGTCGTCCCGTCACCGACACCGGGTAACAATTTCACCACTTCCCACACTCTTGCGGGCGGGCCGCAATCATTATTCTACGCTTATATTCATATCACCGTGTTGGGAATTTCATTGCGAGTCCATTGATACCAAAATTAACGCTGTAGGACAAGTGTGGAGGTGATAACAATCCCAAGAGTAAAAACATTTTGTTGCTGTTGGGCGCTCACGGCGAGTCATCTTCGTAGTTATTTATTTGGTGCTGGTATCCCTATACGTTTCGTGACTTTTTTTACTGATGTTCTTCTAGAGAATTTTATTGCGAACACGTTGGTACCAAAATGAAATACGTAGCTCGAGAACTAAGGTCATGAGAGTAAAAAGAGTATACACATTTTTGTTTTTACGCTTACGCGGCAAAACGCCGGGAGCACTTACGGTTGTTTTTTTTACATTCGCCAAGAGCCGGAAAGTGTTAATTCCCAGTCTCTGCTCTGTGGTACTGTAGCAAGTTGTGGTCTTTATGAAGTGTCATGTGTGGTTAAGGTCTTCATGGTGTCGTGTGGTTGTAGGATGATATATAAATATTGATAAGCTTTATGAATGATAAACATGCAAAATAATGATAAAACCAAAGTTAATCCTATTTTTTTTTTTTTTATCAGAGATCAGCGATGCTGATATTGAAGACAACACAGACTCTGAAAGAGTCCGGCACAAGTACCACAACACTCGGCAACCTTCCATTGTTGTTGAACATTCAGAAAATGATATTAGAACAACTAATGATGCAGTTGTTGCTAATCACAGGTATGTTGACAAAACTTTCATTCTTTTATGCTTATATGAATGCATATTCTTTAGGCTGTATGGAAAACTAACTGCTAAGTAGAGATTGTAACAGTAATAGTTGTAGTAATGAATTATGTTCTGTAGTGCAGCATTTTATTTTTTTTTTTTTTTTAAATTTTAATTAACACTTTTAACCCCTGGGCAGCGCTTGTGATTATAGCCTGTAACACTGTCAGGCACAAAAAAAAAATCTTCTAAGATTGTTAAAATGTGTGTCCTGATCACGGGAAAAATAATTAAAAATTGTAGGTGACATATTTTGGCTGCAATACGGCGAGGAAGTCTGGCAAAATTGAGACACTGACACAGTAATCGTCCCACGCTGGTGTCTCCTCCACCCGTGCAGTCAGGCAGAAGTTGCCACAAAGATATTATTACCTAATTATTTCATTGTCTCTGATTTTTTTCTGTTTTTTGTGGAGAGCCCCTTTGGCTTCCCAGAGCTATACTGGGCTGATATGCATATATTAGACTGTGGCAACAGTCAGTCGATGGCGTTCTAAGCCTACCGAGGACCAGTGCCAGAACCTGGCCCCCCCCCTCCTCAAGAGAGGCACGAAGAGCAGTGGCCTAAAGACACCCCTGTGTAATTAGAATCACCTGACCTGACCTATGTGATCAGGTCTATGTGGCCATCTACCAGGTCAGGCACCAAGAAAGGTAGGAATTCCAAAACAAGCTACAGCTGGTTAAAAATGGCAAATGGAAAACCGAATTAGCAAACAAACAAAACTCCCCAATTGAAAACAAGCAAACAAGCATGATGTCACCATAGCTGCTGCACCGCTGTCTGCACAACTCGCCCCCTCCCTGGGAAGGAAAAGGGAGTCCTAGACCTCCCGCTCTGGCTAGCCAACCTCGGTTCAAGAGGATGTTGTGTTGGTGACAGTCGAGCGACTCTGGCTCCATCCTTTTGAGCAGTGCTGCAGAGCAGTGATGATGATCTGTGTTAGTGGTGTGCGAGCCAAGAGTAACATAAGAGTACTGGGGATGCATGCACCTAGGGCCACCTTCCCTAGGTGCCCTGTAAGTACTGCCTTTGCGACTTAGGGTTATCTTCCATGAACTGTTCAGGAGAGGCTACCTCCGTGTGGTTCGGTTGCTGCTCGGTGTTTGCCTGCCCTTGGGGTTCAGTTGGGGTGGTTCTTACTCTGTTTGGCCTTGGGTAGAAGGTAGTATCATTGCTGGCTGGGGCACAAGGTACTGTGCAGCTGTCTGATATACGCATAGTAGCTCTGTTCCCTGGAGACGTTGTGCTTTTTTTTTTTTTTTTTTTTCTGGTGTGACTTTGGGACCACTTATATCATTTAAGTGGTCCTCCACTAGGTCCCCATGCTTGCAGACATTGCAGGGGTCAGCTTTTAGTTTGCTTGCTTGGTAGCTCTGGGATAACAGGTGTCCCTTGTGGGCCAAGTATTTCTGCTCCCATGGGCATTTGGCTTTGGTCTTGCACTTATTTTTCCCTGTTGGAACTGTCTTTGGACTGGCTCGAGGAGGATGTGGAGGAGCTAGGTTCAAAGCCTGTGTCCAGTGCGCAAGCCTCGGCAGCTCAAGCGTCGGCTGCCTTGTTGAAGTTTTTGCAGCGATTATGAAGGAAGCGGTGTCTCTATTCTTGTTTCCTGCCTCGTGTGCTGGCAGGTAGTGCTCGTCCAATTTTTGGACTCCACTTGGGCCCTGGCTCTTAGAATTTCGTCCCCTTTTTGTCCGTTGCTTTTGCAGAGTCTACAGGGGTGCATTTTCTGCAGGGTGCTCGTTTGCTCGTTTTCATTTTAGGAATTCTGGCCACTAATTGGGCTTTCAGTAGCAATTTCTTAACCAGAATAGGGGTTTGTTTTGGGGTACTTACCTTTCTGGGTGCTTGACCCTGTTGATGGCAGACATAGAATGCTTCCAACCACACGGGGGATTCTGTAACTCCTCGTTCCTCTTCCATTGCTCCTCGTGCCTCTCTGAGGAGGCCAGGTTCTGGCTTGTGGTCCCTGGTAGGTCTAAGAATTCCATTCGCTTGACTGATGCCAGGGGTCTAATACATTCATATCTGACCAGTTAGCTCTGAGAAGCCTCCAGGTCTCACCCAGAAAATTTTGTTTCATTACATTCAACGCTGGTTTTTTGTGCACCATAATGAACCCCTATCGTGTGTTGATAGTTTATAAACAAAGAACAAGATTCCAAAATCTGCCTACTACTTGACAGCTGTGTGGTTGAAGAAGCCACAAATACATTTTTCCATGATTATTTCAATGTCTCATTGGTTTTATCTCAGTTTTTTTTCAGTAAAATTATTCAATATTGTGTAATATTGTGGAATTTATATAGTTAAATGTGTTCAACATCATTATGCTCAAAATATAATGCTCATATCTAGTGACATGTATATTTTATATTCTTAGCAGAATACTGTACAACAGTGTTTTTGCTGTTATTAAGCTATATACACTAATTATATACATCTATATTTTTATAAACCATAATGAACCACTAAGTAATTGTGTGTGTGGTAATGAAATATTAGCACAGCATAGAGGTACGCGCTACGACCAGCTGACTCCATCAGCCGACGCCACCTGACGCACCAAAATTCCTAGAAATACACCATGTACATTGCTATTATCACTTTGAATACTGCTATTATTATCAGATTCCTGTCACTAAATCATGAATATGAATCATTTTGCTCAAGATTATTTTCTAAAGGAACATGAGGTCATGTTACATGATGCAAAAGATTCACAAACCTTCGCTGTGTGCTGTGAATGCCTGCCTCCTGCTGTGAACATTATAACTAGCATTGTGTTCACTGATATCTGAACCTTGTACATAATTATTATTACACTCAGGATCATTTATAAAACTATCAGTGCAAAATAATTGCAGTTACTTGTCTTATTCATCATTAAATGGTGCTGTGGCCCTAACTTTTGCATCTGTGCTGTGAACTGGAGCTGCATGCACCAGCCTTGGTTGCTCTGGCACTACCGAGGCTCTCACTGTAAGGAGGTATGCAGATAATTTTTTCAAGGTGACTTCTGTTTAATGGAGTCTTGAAGGAACAGGATGTGAGCCGTGTGTACCCGTGGGAGTTTTGAAACTTACAATATACAGGCACTAACCTTCATTACATGTCTGGTGGTGCTCCACCACACCACACATTATATCAAGTGGTGCAGTGCTGAGGTTAAGTATAAAATGTTACAGTGGTAGACACCTAACAAGGTGGACTATGGGTAATAATAAATATGGTCGGACACTAATTCCATAGGAAACAAGTGGCAGTATCCACTCAGCAAAACCAAGATCTATCTATCAAGATCAATTAGAAATATTGATCCAATTAGCAGTTAAGTGAGGCAGTGGTAACACACACTGCCTGCGCTTCGCGAGTGATTTGGACTGGGTTCGTATTCTGGCTGCAGAGGATTGACTGGGCACCAATCCTTAACTGTATGCCCCTGTTCAGCCAGCAGTGAATGGGTACCTGGTTGTTAAATGATTTGGCGGATCATATTCCAGGGAAAATTAAGATTAAGGACCTGCCCGAAACACTGTGTGTGTTTGTGGCTTTACAAGAATGTATGACCTCTTGTACAGTGGTACCTCAGCTTACGAATTTAATCCGTTCCCAGAGATGGTTCGTAAGCTGAAAATTTGTAAACTGAAGCCAATTTCCCCATAAGAAATAATGGAAATTGAATAAATCCGTTCTAGACTCCAAAAAAAATTAACTTCAAAGTAAATTTTATACCTAATTCACCCAAATCTTCAGTACTAAAATATGTACAATTTATTACTTACCTTTACTGATGACTCTTGTTGGCGTATGAAAGACGGGTTGGAGAGAGGAGGAGGAGAGGTGTTAGTGTTTGAAAGGGGAGTCCCCTTCCATTATAACATTGATGACTTCTCTGGGGGTACACTCTCTGGAACATTTTGCCAGCATACAACTAGGACCTGCTTGTGGCTCATTGCTTGCTTGTTTTACTAAGAATCTGAAGACACTTGTTTTTCCCAACATTTTATCACTTATCTGTAGTGAGACATCACATTGTCATTTAAAAGATCAATGCAATGGTCTGCTATAGCTTTATCTGGGCGAGTTTTTTCAACAAAAGTTTGCAGCTCTTCCCATACTTCACACATTTTCTTAATGAGGAAGGGACATCCTCTACTGCCTCTACTCTCAACTACTTTCTTAGGTCAAACCTTACATTGACCCTCATGGGACCCATGGCAAGATATATAATAATTACTTTTATGTTCAAATACCCCAAAATCTGAAAAACACTGAAATTCTTTACAAAGAATTCAGGCGCGATTGTCACTAGGCGTGAGCCACTGGTAAACTGAGACGCGATCGCTGTTCCTCCACGCTCTAGGCCGGCCCATACGTGTATCAACTGACTCATTTCCCAAGGCAAAATTCGTAACCTGATTCAAATTTTCCGAAGAAATTGAGCTCGTAACCTGAAAAGTTCATAAATAGGGCCATTCATAAGCCGAGGTGTCACTGTATATATAAATAAAAAATATACAGTATCGCCAATACATGCCTATATACAATTCAACATGCACATTAATAATCTGAGATCTTAATTTTTTATTATATTTTATTTTATTTACATATACAGTACAAAAGTTCTTACATTCTTGTAAAGCCACTAGCACGCATAGCATTTTGGGCAGGTCCTAAATCTTAATTATTCCCCAGATTACGAACTGCTAAATCATTAAACAGCCAGGTACCTATTCACTGCTGGGTGAACAGAGGCTACAGTTAAGGATTGGCACCCGGTCAATCCTCTCCAGCCAGGATACAAACCTAGGCCAAAGCACTCGCTAAGCGCCCAGCGATTGTCTTAACACTTCGCCGCTGAGACTGCAGCAGTGAATGGAATTAACATGCAGTGGTTCCCATGGAATAAGCTACTGAACATGGAAGGATGTCAGTGCCTATGTCAATCCATGTGGGGTTGTCAGTGCTAATGTCTAGCCCTTAACGAGCATTCCCAAAAAAAATGTTGCCAAAAAATTTGAAAAAAAAAAAAAAAAAACACTTAGCACTACTGAGACACCATGCTCTCATGTCCAGAAAACAGATCGTAATGTTCATTAGTTTCCAGGAAGTGAGCCACTGAACATTGAGGTGGCCAATGCCATTGTCTGCCCATGCTGAGGTTGGACCTGTGGGTATCAAATGTTGCCTTTGGAATGGAACACAATATTAATGAATGGATGGTGGGTATAATATAAATCCTAATAAATCTATTTACCAATTTGTAAAGAATTTTCAACAGTATAATTGGACAACCAGGGCAGATGGATGGCCTGACATGCGTTTTAAATTTGGCTACCTATATTACTGTAGATATCTAAATAATTGTTTAGTATTGCACTTGTAAATGACTTCCTTGTTATTCATGTCATAGGTTTTTCTATATAATGTAGGTATTATTTATATTTGCAAGTAAAATTTTAATACATATAACTTGGACAAATGGTTGGATATTGGTGCCTTCCCCAATGGTTAACTTTGGTCTTTGGTAGCAGCTCAATGGTGTTTGTGAATATATTACATAGAAGGAACATATAAATATAGAAGGAACTTGTAAGGCCACATTATTCATATAGAAGGAACTTGTAAGGCCACATTACTCATACAGAAGGAACTTGTAAGGCCACATTACTCATATAGAAGGGACTTGTAAGGCCAGATTACTCATATAGAAGGAACTTGTAAGGCCACATTACTCATACAGAAGGAACTTGTAAAGCCACATTACTCATACAGAAGGAACTTGTAAGGCCACATTACTCATAGAGAAGGAACTTGTAAAGCCACATTACTCATACAGAAGGAACTTGTAAGGCCACATTACTCATATAGAAGGAACTTGTAAGGCCACATTACTCATATAGAAGGAACTTTTAAGGCCACATTACTCGTACAGAAGGGACTTGTAAGGCCATAGTTCTGCATGGAGGTGTACAGGTCCTCTCTGATATTTAAATCAGTATCCACATTTTGTGATGCATCTATATTAAAGTAATTTCATATGGTTTTCAGAGAGAATTACATCTACATTTTCACCTATAATCTTATATTTTATAGAAGAAAACCGGCCACTAAACCCCGTCCATCACTACTTTTCAGGTAGTAACTACAGTGTGACCCCCAAAGCCCTTCCCTACTCCCCAAATTAAACAAATAAACTTAGATCAGAAAATGGATATTCACAACTCTAATGTATTACAGAAGAACCTGAATTTTAACTTGTGAGAAAACTGCAGCTCTTTAAAAGATTATCATCATGAAGCATTTTTTAGTGCGAAGATAAAAGCTGTGTACTAACTAATATGATTTGTACTATTTTTCTGGGGAAAGCCCCGTCAGCTTCCCGGAACTTACCATGCTGATATGCTAAAAACCTGCCCCCCTGCCAGAACCTGCCCCCCCTCAGAAAAGGCACGAGGAGCAATGTCCTATAGAAACCCCCGTGTGGTTGGAAGCATTCTGTGTCTGCCATCGACCGAGTCAGGCACCCAGAAAGGTAAGCATCCCAAAACAAACCCCTATTCTGGTTGGTGGTCAGGTGGCTTCGTTGATGGCGTCCCACCTGCATGCTTCTTCTTGGCGGTGGTGTGTGTTTTTTTGGAGGTCCTTCCTTTTTCTTTTTTGTCCCTTCTTAGGTTTGCTGGTTTCTGATGTTGTGGTCTTGTCCTTCTCTTGTGGAGGTTCGGAGCTGTCATCTTGTCACATACTGTCACCTTGTCTCGTGCAACACTGGCAAAGCAGTTCTTGGCTGCTTTGGTTTTGGAGTTGCCTCTGCACTGCTTTGTGAGCCATCTCTGGCGTAGTTCACCTCCGGCCTGCTCTTGTGCTGCTTGAGCCATCCTGATTCTTGGATTGTGTGCACTTTTTCTCTTCTTCTCAGCTTGTTGTGGCTCTTTCAGTTTTGAGTTTTTTCTGGGGCACTTTTCTCGTTGGCGTAGACCTCTGGGGGTCGGGTCGGAGTGCTTCATGCCGCCCTCCGGCGCCTGGATTTCGGCTCTTTTGGTTCTCCTGATGGATTGTGCGCCTGCAGCTTGCAGCCTTCTCATTCTTTTCTGGCGAAGACTGGCTCGGCTGCTTTCCTGAGGGGTCCTTGGGTTGTTTGATGCTTGGCCGGGGGTGCATCATATGCTGAGTTCGGTTGTGGCACTTCGCTGTGCTTGGCGTGCCACGGCTGCTGTGACCGGGGTCCTGCTTTGGGTTGTTCTGGGTTCCCTCCTTCCCTGTTCCAGGTTGTGGTTCTCTTGGGTCGTCCGCAGGGTGGTTCAATCCTGTCAGCCTACTGTCTCTCCCCATGCCCAAGTCATTCGTTGGTTGACACCGAGTTCTTTCGTTGATGTTCCTGGGCCTTGTCGAGCCTGTGTGGCCTTAGGTTGGCAGTTGCAGTTTAGTCTACGCTTCACGTTGGGGTGTGTGCAACTTCCGCCTCCTGTGTTCGGGCCCTCTTGTTTTCATCTTTGGGTAGGTAACTCCGGAAAACCAGAAAACCAGCATTGAATGTAATGAAACACCATTTTCTGGGTGAGACCGGAGGCTCTCTGGCAACCCTCCCACCTCCCAGTCGGCGGTTTTTCTCGTGTTTTGATGTCCAGCCTCAGAACTGAGAGGTGGATTGCCGAAGCGGGGGTCTGGGGCTCCCCCTGCCCCCTCCCGGGAAGGGGGGAGCTGCGCAGACAGGTGCGACATGTGACGTCATACTCGTTTGTTCATTTCTGTTTGGGGAGTTCTATCCACTTGTTCGGCATTTTGTAGCAATTTTCACCAGAATGGGGGTTTGTTTTGGGATGCTTACCTTTCTGGGGGCTTGACCCGGTCGATGGCAGACATAGAATGCTCCCAACCACACGGGGGTTTCTATAGGCCATTGCTCCCCATGCCTCTCTGAGGGGGCCAGGTTCTGGCTCGTGGTCCCTGGTAGGCCCACAGAACTCCATTCACATGACTGATGCCAATATCCGACATTAGCATATCAGCCCAGATAGTTCCGGGGAGCCTCCGGGTCTCACCCAGAAAATGGCGTTTCATTACATTCAACGATGGTTTTTTTATAATAAAAATTTTTTTTGCATTGCAATGGGGGTAGAAGTCTGGTTAAATTAGTTTCCATTTAAAATCTCTTTAGCATTTACAAAATTTTTAAATTGCTTTCAAATTTGAAGTAAATTTGAGTTTTGGTTTAGTGATATACTGTAAGTTTTTAATTAAGATATATTCAGTGATTGAAGTTTTGTTTAGCTTGGTGTGCCAGTACCTTCAACAGTAAAGTAATAAAATGTGATTATACAAGTTCTTCTGTATTATTCTAACTGTTAACACCAACACACTACCATATTTGTATTTATTATAATCATAATTATGCTAATCTATGCATGAGCTTCATGATATCTGTCATCCTGTTTGTAAATAGGCAGTGAGACCTGGTGTTTTGTGCTATTAATACATTTTATATCCATAACAAGATAAACAATATTATAGGTATTCAAATATGGCACAACCCTTTAAAGTGGAGGTCAAATAATGTAAAAAGCATTGATATTTATAATAAAATCTTTCTTTTGGTTATTTTTTTATATGGTGAGTTCTGTAACACTAAATTTTCACATACTGTTAATTTGTATTCTCTTCTAAACTGGCTATCATTTTATCATATTTATATTTAAATTTTGGTATTGTTAACCCCTGGGCGGAGTTGCTACTAATAGCTGACAACACCGCTGTGTGTAAGGGGATAAAAAAAAAAAAAATTAAGATTGTTAAAATATGTTCCCTGATCACAGGGTAAATAATACAAAAATCACTGGTGAAATATTTTGGCCACAACAAGGTGAGGAAGTCTGCACAAGATTCAGGTGCTGATAGAGTAGGTGTCCGGGACGGTCTGCTCCAGCCGAGCCGTCAGGCGGGAGCTGCCACAAAGATATTATTACAATACAACCTCCATTCAACGCACTATATGGGACCAACCCCGGTGTGTTGCAGCATTGGATTCATTGCAGGAGGTGCCCTTCAGGAGGCATTTGTGTCAGTGTCTTTCTTTTTCTTGTAAACAATAAAAATGCATTATCATATTATATACTGTACCTATATATTACTATTCTACTAAAAAAATACTGAGTTACAGTTGTTATTTACTTTATTGTTGAAGTTATGTCCATCTTGAATTCTCATGGAGTTGTGAATACTGTACAGTAAATACGTACTGTACTGTATTATGTTGTTAGCACTGTATTAATAAGTACAGTAGTTCTGTTGTATGTTGAGTACTACAATACAGTTTATGAAAACTATTTTACACTAAAATTACTGTACTGCAACCTTAATTTTAACATGAACAATATGTACTTAAATTTAACACTTATTCTAACTGTACACTTCACACATGACATTCTTAGATGTTTGCATCAGCTTTGCTGGTGCTCGCTGCTGCTGCTAAGTTTGCTTCAGCTGCTTCTGAGCTGGTGCTGGCTGCTGTTGTACTGGTGCTGGGTATAGCTGTGCTCATGCTGGGTATGGCTGTGCGTGTGCTGGGTACAGCTGTGCTTGTGCTGGGTACGGCTGTGCTTATGCTGGGTACGGCTGTGCTTGTGCTAGGTACAGCTGTGCTCGTGCTGGGTACAGCTGTGCTCGTGTTGGGTACGACCGTGCTGGTTGATTTTCTGCTTCTAGTTCTTGAAAAATATTGACTCATTTTCAGCACTAATAAGGCCTCACTGCCTCCCTCCCTCCCTAATTCTCCCCCTCTCTAACATACTGCCTCTCATCTAAGCTTCCCCATCCATCCACCCACCAGTCAGCCATCACTGACACAATGCGTGCATCTGGAGCCGACATGGTGTACAGATGTTTCTTGATTGTGCAGATATGTAAAACAAAGTCACAGAATGAACACTCCAATCTTGTGACAAATCAAAACAATAGGAACAATAAACCGTGAATCTGTGACATCACCGGGTAGAATGCACTCTAAAAGTGGTGGCACCCAACGCGGGTCAGTGGGCAAACTGGATCATCTCCCACCCACCCCACCACCACGGGACGGCACGACACTTGGCGGACTGCTTCTTCACCCGAACTTAGTTCATGCAGGGTAACCCCAACCCCGGCTGGCATTGGGCCTTGGCGGACCGCTTCCTACTCGAACTTAGTTCATGTAGCGTGACTCCCCAACCCCAATCAGGAAACTGGAAGTTTCGGATAACTAAAGTTCGGAAACCAAGTGGCACTCTATATACTGTATATATTTTGACATTTTCAGGCGATACTGTGGTCACAAGCTGAACAGCAGTGCTGTTAGCTCATGCTGCGTGTGCCAGCCTTGGTTGCTCACCCAGTACAGTACTTATATTTTCAAAGTTATACATAATAGACAGTACCTTTGACACACAAATACAACCTGTTAGCATGAAAAAATTAAATAAATAAAGTGAGAAACAATGAAAATATATCAACAAAGTTATTCCCATGCAACACCTCAACTCATTTTACCTAAAAATACGCAACTTCTCCAGGCTACTACAGCTAAATCACAAGATCTAAAAGACTTTTTAATTAGATGTTTGGGTTTCCTGAAGGCTAATTAACAATGTCATAAGAAAAAAACAAATTTTTAGAACAATTTTTCTGTGGGAAGTCCCGGAGGCTCCCTGGAGCATATCGGGGTAATGTATGTTGTATTAGACCGGGACATTAGCTAAGGAGTTCAGACCTACCAGGGACCAGCGCCAGAACCTGGCCCCTTCAGAGAGGTTTCAGGGGGCAATGGCCCTGGAAAACCCCCTTGTGGATGGGGTTTTCCTTATCTGCCATCGACCGGAGTTAGGCACCCAGAAAGGTAGGCATAACAAAACAAACCCCACATGGTAAAAAACTAAAACAAAAAACTGAACAGAGAGGTAGAAACTCCCCACAATCCCAAGGAAACAAGCAAACATCACACTTTATTGCTGCGCCGATCGTCTGCGCAACTCTCCCCGCCCCAAGAAGGGAAGGGGGAAGTCCCGGACCTCACCGCGCTGGCTGCCTAGCATCAGTTTGGAAGCTAAGCTTCAACTAATGTGAAAAAAACACCGACCGGTGGGAGGGAGGGTTGCCAGGGAGCCTCC